AAAAAAAAAAAAAAAAAAGCAATAGATTATCATCACTCACGGAGTTCCCTTTACTCTTAACTTCCGATCGTGTTTCTGGACTCGGCCCAGACGAAACAGTTCGCACCGGGCTTCGTAAGCCTCAAACGACTACAGTAGACTAAATCATCTGCAGTACCCACCCATCTCACCTTGGTCCTACCTGGTACAGCACCTACCTCCTTAGGACCTGCCTACTAAATTAAATGGATTAATTGACAGAAAACACGAGACATAAACGGTTGTCAGCACATGTCGGCCCGGCTATGATATTTTGTACATCCGTCTAGATAATACTTATGTATCCGTACTCTGTTTGGGTGACGAATCTCGGGCTCTCTCTCTCCCTCTCTAGGTCTTTTTAGTGCAGGGCAAAACCAACCAAGTCGCCAAGGCAAGGGTCAACAAGACATCCATCTTGGCGTTATTAGGAGGTTAGGTCAGGTACGTTTACAGTACCAGTACCTTTCTTGCTAGTCTCATCGGGTACGGGTTGGTAATAGTCTTTCGTTCAACAAGGAAAGTCCCGACTCTCGACTCTCACAGCTTGCTTGGTTGATTGCGTGGCCCCCCCCGTGCCACTGCCGTTTCTTCCACTTCAACCATTCATTTCCAGTCTTCTCCTGTCAATCGATACCTTCTAATCAATCAGTTCCTCGTTCTGATTCGTCTTTCGTTCCATTTCTCATCCTTGTCCTTTTATATTCTCCAGAATTCCCCTCATTGCAATTGTCAAATACTCCACATCCCCCGTCCCGATCCTATCTTTGGTACCGTACCTCTTTAGTACCCTGCCTCTGCCTCTGCCTCGCCTCTACGTTAGTCTACAGCAGACGCCTCTTTGAGATCCATAGACTTTAGTGCAACTCACTTAACTGCACCACACGTCGCTCAACCTAATACCCTACAATTCTTATTTTTCTTTCTCATTCATCTTGAACATTCTATCGATTTCACTCAAAAACACCAGGATAACACGGCATTGTTTGTATTGCATATCGCTACCGGCTGGCTGGTTGGCCTCGCGCCCATTCACCCTATGGAGGAGGGTGGCGTTACCCCGTTCCGACGCCATTCATGAACTCATTTCTCTCCGGCTCTCAACAGCTCTTCCGTGGTGGTTGCAATGAAGTCGTGGCTCTGGGGTGCTTCGCTGGTTTCTTCATGGGGCCTCGTGTACGCTCAAACTATCCAGTGGAACATTGAAGGCCGTCATCCTCAACCACATTTGGCTCGTCGTAGCAAAACAACATATGAGGAAGTCATCCGTAACGACAGAACCGAGGGAGGCTACTTTACGGAAGTCACAATTGGAGACCCGCCCCAAAAGATCACCCTTCAGCTTGATACAGGGAGTAGCGATGTATGGGTCCCTTGGAATTGTGCAGACGTATGCACAGACGATGACGACAAGAAAGGATGCCCTCTAGGAAGCTGTAAGATCATCCACTACTAACATAAAGCCGTTCTCTGTTACTGACAATCTGCCCCAGTTGATCCAGACAAATCCAAGTCATTCAAACATGTTGCACCCGGCATGTTCGGCCTCACTTTTGTGGATGACAGCTACGTCAAGGGCGATTATTTCGAAGATCACTTTGAATTGGACGGCGCAGTCATCAACAACTTGACCATGGGCCTGGCTATCAAAACCAACATCTCCTATGGACTTATTGGTGTTGGATACGCCAAGAATGAGGCTTCGAGCAGCACTACAGATGTTATCTATCCAAACCTTCCTGTCGCCATGTATGAATCAGGATATGTCAACACAATTGCTTACAGCGTCTGGCTCAACGATTTGGACGCCAAAGCCGGCACCGTTCTCTTTGGGGGTGTAGACACATCGAAATATGTCGGTGACATGCACCGAATCGACATCCAACCGCTGGATGGCCATTACTACCACTTCATCGTTGTACTGACTTCGCTTGTCGCTACTAGCTCAAGCGGCAGCGATGTCCTTACATCGGATGGCTTCCCAATCAAGACGGTTCTCGACTCTGGAACGACACTTAGCTATTTACCCCACAACCTGACGACCGAGATTTGGAAAGAGGTCGGTGCCATCTGGTCACCTTACTATGGAGTTTCAGTTCTTCCCTGCGCTTTCGGCAAAAATGAAGGCAACTTCACGTTTGGTTTTGCTGGCCCAGATGGCCCTAGCATCAGTGTAGGCATGGATGAGCTTGTTCTCACCATGACCAGTGATAGGGACAACATGCCTGTTTTTGAATCAGGCCCGTACAAAGGTCAGACGATGTGCTCTTTCGGCATACAGAACGACACCAGTGAACTGTATCTACTTGGAAACACCTTCCTCCGATCTGCTTATGTCGTCTATGACCTGGTGAACAACGAGGTTGGAATTGCTGCCACCGACTTCAATTCCACTACGACCAAACGAGTTGCATTCAAGAGCTACGGAGCCAGCATCCCATCTGCGACGGCAGTGGCCAACCAGCACAAAGCGACGGAGAATCCTGACGTTGCGGGCCATAACTATTCTGCAGCGGATGGATTTCAAAAGTCAGATTGGGATAAGGACGACGAGGACAACGCAGCCTCACCCCTGACACCCTCTAGAGCGCTGTTGGCGACAATGGGGTTTGTACTTTTAGGTGGAGGAATCTTGCACAGTTTTTGATGATAACGTCTGGGGAGTTTTGGCTGCATTGCGTTTGCATAGCATAGAGCTGTCTACTTTTGAGGCCACGGATTCATGATGCTGGCGTTCTAAAGGGTTTGTTAACGTGGACATGAGCTGATTTTGGCGTTTTTTACGGCCGGATGGAGCCGTAGGTTATGAAGATAAAAGGGCGCAACGGGCGATGGAATGGATACCACAAATGATACCAGTATAAGAGTGGCGTAAATAAGCCTAGACGAAATTCGCCAGTAAAGGTGAATTATAATGAAGAACCCTAGTTTCTGGAAATGTTAAATCCTGTCGTCATGGAGTTTTACAACCACCCACAACTGTTAATTATTGTAGTTGAGACTTAGGTCTGGTCTCACCTAACTTACAGGGAGGTGTAGGACTGTTTCGGGCAGCACTTTAGCGCTGAACGAATCAGAGACGTGGGTTCATGTGGCGCAACGCCTCCATCCTGCTAATTCCGACGTCAAGAAAAAAAAGTTTCCTATCCAATGGTCCGTCGATCATTGGCAACCCTCTCCTCAACTTCTTCACTGAAGTCCAAGATTGCACAATGAGGGCATCAAGGGCTGCCAGATGGCTTAATAGCCATCTGCTACTGGGCGCCCAGCAGTCAAGCTGCGGTAGCCATTCTTTTACTATATCCGCTGCTGCTCCTGTATGGGAGAGTCGACGAGCTTTTAGCCAGACCAAGCGTGTCTGCAATGTTGCGCAAGAAGCGTGAGTTCAATTGATGCCCCATTACGATTCCAAACACCTTGCTCATACAATAACCAGTCTCAAGAAAGCTCAAGAAGACGCTGCTAGTCTGACACCTGAATATGTCGCCGCAAACATGTCCGCCGAGGAGGCCAAGCGCCTGTCTCGAGTCCGTAACATTGGTATTGCTGTATGATCATGGCACCACCGTCAAGTCTCCCCGTTCGCTAACAAATATCGACAGGCGCATATCGACAGTGGAAAGACAACCGTCAGTGAACGAGTCCTGTTCTACACCGGCCGAATCAACTCGATCCACGAGGTTCGAGGCAAAGACTCCGTCGGCGCTAAGATGGACTCTATGGAACTCGAAAGGGAAAAAGGCATCACCATCCAGTCTGCGGCTACGTTCGCTGATTGGAAGAAAACGGAAAACGGCAAAGAAGAAACCTACCACTTCAACCTGATTGATACACCCGGCCACATTGATTTCACCATCGAAGTCGAGCGAGCTCTGCGAGTCCTCGACGGTGCTGTCATGATTCTGTGCGCTGTTTCTGGCGTCCAGTCTCAGACTATCACCGTCGACCGTCAAATGAAACGTTACAATGTTCCCCGTCTCTCTTTCGTCAACAAGATGGATCGAATGGGTGCCAACCCCTGGAAGGCTGTCGAACAGATCAACACTAAGCTTAAGATTCCCGCCGCTGCTATTCAGATTCCTATTGGTGCTGAGGACGAGTTCCTTGGCGTTGTCGACTTGATCAACATGCAAGCTATGTACTTTGAGGGTCCTCGTGGTACCAAGGTTCGCGTCACCGATCAGATCCCCGGTCCTCTCCAGGAATTTGCCAAGGAGAAGCGCCAGGCTCTGATCGAGAAGCTCGCCGACGTCGACGACGAAATTGCCGAATTGTTCCTTGAAGAGCAGGAGCCTTCCAACGCTCAGATCAAGGCTGCTATCCGCCGTGCCACCATTGCCCGAACCTTCACTCCTGTCATGATGGGATCTGCCCTTGCTGATAAGGGTGTTCAGCCCATGCTCGATGCCGTCTGTGATTACCTGCCTAACCCCTCTGAGATTGAAAACACTGGTCTGGACAAATCCCAGGACGAGAAGACTGTCAAGCTGGTTCCCTACGACTCTCTTCCCTTTGTTGGTCTTGCTTTCAAGCTCGAGGAGAACAACTACGGTCAGCTCACCTACATTCGAGTCTACCAGGGCAAGCTGAGCAAGGGTACCTACCTCTTCAACTCCCGAACTGATAAGAAGGTCCGAATTCCCCGAATTGTCCGCATGCACTCCAACGAGATGGAGGACGTCTCTGAGGTTGGTGCCGGCGAGATCTGCGCCGTCTTTGGTGTCGACTGTGCTTCTGGTGACACCTTCACTGACGGTGGTCTCCCCTACACCATGTCTTCCATGTTCGTCCCTGATGCTGTCATGTCTCTGTCTATCAAGCCCAAGCGAACTGGCGATGCCGACAACTTCAGTAAGGCTATGAACCGATTCCAGCGTGAGGATCCCACTTTCCGTGTCCACGTCGACCCTGAGAGTGAGGAGACCATCATCTCTGGCATGGGTGAATTGCATCTTGAAGTCTACGTCGAACGTCTCCGACGTGAGTACAAGACCGACTGTGTCACTGGCCAGCCTCGTGTTGCCTATCGTGAGACTATTGCCCGTCGAGCCGATTATGATTTCCTCTTCAAGCGACAGAGTGGTGGTCCTGGTGACTTTGCTCGTGTTGCTGGATGGATCGAGCCTAACGACAAGCCCGATGAGAACCACTATGAGAGCCAGGTCGTCGGTGGTAACATTCCCGACAAGTTCCTGTCTGCTTGTGCTAAGGGTTTCGAGGCTGTTTGCGAAAAGGGTCCTCTCCTGGGTCACAAGGTTATTGGCGCGAAGATGGTTGTTAACGATGGTGCCACTCACGTTACTGATTCTTCCGATCACGCTTTCAACTTGGCTACCCAGATGGCCTTCAAGAAGTCTTTCCCCGAGGCTGGTGGTCAGGTTCTTGAGCCTCTCATGAAGACCACTATCACCGCCCCCAACGAGTTCCAAGGTAACATTCTTATGCTTATGAACAAGCGTAACGCTACCATTCACGACACCGATATTGGCAGTGAGGATTTCACCCTCATCTGCGACTGCAGTTTGAACGCCATGTTTGGCTTCAGCTCTCAGCTCCGTGCTGCTACTCAGGGCAAGGGCGAGTTCAGCATGGAATTCAGCCATTACGCTCCTGCTCCTCCTCATCTCCAGTATGTTAACCCCCAATACAACGAGTTACAATTACTAATAGCCTTATAGGAAGGAATTGGTCGCCAAGCACCAGGCTGAGCTTGAGGCTAAGCGAACCAAATAAACGATTCCCCGGACTTGAAGGGAAGTGGCCATACATCAGTGATGTTTTGGCGCGGGCACGCAATGTGCCAATGTATAACACAAACGAATGGGTCTATGATCTTGTAATATAATGTCATAACATGCCAACTCCTCACAAGGAGTTTAGAAGTCTACGACAGATAAATGAGTAGTAGAAGTTGGAAAAAGTACCTTGATCATAGAAGGTACGGGAAAGATGGATAAACAAAACGGATGAAATATACAATCCTCTCTAGATCTTCGCATGGTTGTTCATTTTAATGTGAAGCTTTGGGCTTTTCCCAAACCTTGGCCACACAGTTACACGTTATCTAGCACAAAATATCTGGGCTATCTACCAACTTTTGAGGGGTTCTCTTTTTCTCTCATTTTCTTACAGACGTCGGAGGATATCAGCAACAACCTCCTCAGTGGTGGCCTTACCACCCAGATCAGGGCTGAGCAGCTTGCCATCCTCAAGGTTGCCGTCAACAGCAGCGTAGATCTTGGCAGCAGCCTCCTCCTCGTTAAGGAACTCGAGCATCAGCGCGGTGGATCGGAGAGTAGCAATGGGGTTAGCGATGTTCTGGCCCTGGATATCAGGAGCGCTGCCGTGGCAGGGCTCACCAATGGCGAAGCCCTCACCGACGTTGGCGCTAGGGACGAGACCCAAGCTGCCGACAAGAGCAGCAGCACCGTCGGAAAGAATGTCACCGTACAGGTTAGGGGCGACAATGACGTCGTAGTCCTCGGGCTGACGGAAGAGCTTGTAGACCATGGAGTCGACGATCTGCTCCTCAATGGCAATGGAGGAGAACTTGGGGTCGGCAAGAGCCTTTTTGGAGGTAGCACGGAAAAGGCCATCGGTCTGGGACAGGACGTTGGACTTGTGGGTGATGGTCACAAGGGGAGACTTGTGAATGCTGGAGGCACCAGCATCGCGGATCTTCTGTCGGCGCAGAGCAATGTCACCAGCCATGGCAGCAATTCGGAACGAAGCCTTCTCAGAAATGCGCTTAATAGCCTCGGCAACCTTGCCCTCGGGGGTATCGTGGGTCTGCTCCTGCTTGACGTAGAGATCTTCGGTGTTCTCACGAACAATGACCATGTCAATGGGCTTAGCAGCAGTCATGACGGTCTTGACAGGTCGAACGTTGGCGTAAAGGTCGAGCTTCTTGCGCAGGGCGACGATAGGTGAAGAGTAGCCCTTGACGGCCTGGGTAGGAGAGCTCACGGCTCCAAAGAGAGCACCATCGCACTCATTCTTGAGGACCTCGACAGTCTTGTCGGGGAGGGCAGCACCGGTCTGCTCAAAGGTCTCGAAGCCGGCCTTGAGGTCGACAAAGTCGAACTTGAGGCCGAGAGAGGAGGGCAGAGCTTCGAGGATGCGGCGACCAGCAGGGATGACTTCCTTGCCGATACCGTCACCAGGAATGAGACCTGCAATCGAGGAGACAATTAGCTACCTGTGGGCGATTGTATTTAGTCAGTGAAGTTATGTCGTACCGATTCTGAGAGTGCGGAAAGACATGATGGGCGCAATTGGAGTTGAGAACAGAGTCAAGTTCTTGTCGTCCGACGACCGGAGACAGCAAAGAAAATCAATCGTTGGATTTGCAGTATCGGGTAAAAAGTGGTCTGTCTGGCTGCCGAACGGCGCCAAGAGGGGGACAAGGTTTGAGTTGATCACTTCAACGCTCCAGTGATATCCGTAGTTAGAATGACTCTGGTATAGTAAACTATGGTTCTAAACTACCTAGCATAACAAGCAATTGAATGTAGTGGATGGGTCGTTTCAATGCTTTCTCATCAGTGAAGCTCTTGATATATCAACCATCCTGAGCCGATCATCGGCCCTCTTGATAAAGACTCATGTTGGACAAGAGGTGGTGGTCTATTAGTAAGATCCCTAAGCAACACGGTAAAATTTGGTCCAAGTCAGCGGCATAAATGATTCAAAAATAAAGTCCTTGGATGCCAATGGTCCACTGAATGACAATCAATCTGGGACAAGAGCTTGATCGCTGGATGTGGGGAGAGCGATATGAGACGGACGGAGATATCCCCACACAAGCTCATGCGATCCCACGTCAACATCAAAGCTCAGAGTTGATGGGAAAAGCTTCTAGACGTTTGTGTGGAACAATTGTTTAAGTTGCCCTGCCCTGTACTGCCTTGGGCAAACAATGCCGTCCAGTAAGTTACAGAGCCGAGGTACCCAGGAACAAGCCGAAGCTCTCTCTCGTCTTGGGAGATATTGGATGAAATAGGGGTAATTATCCGGATACGTATTCGTAGTCTTGATCTGGAGTCTAGAGTCTGGACTTGTGCTAAGTAATAATAGCCGTCCCATGTCGAGGTCAATCTTGTGTCATTTCGTTGAATTGTCGTATCACACTCCCATCTCTTCTTCTATCAACTAACAGTCACTCTTTTCGTTGAATCAGTGCTGCACAGCAATCCCTCCTCGCACTTAAAACGTGTCAGTCTCGGGAAAGAAACTAATAAAAACCAGTCAAAGTCGTACCGTAGCTCCTTTTTGTTTCAAGTTCAATTGTCAAAGCGGATGGCTACTCTGAACCGTGATGGGTGGGAATTGGAAACCTTCCTTTATGATGGTAATTTACTTGGTCCCTGGCTAAGCCTGAATAGAACGAGATCCATCCGATGCCTCATTTCGACTGGATCCTTGTCCAGACTCCATCCCATACCATTCATTAAATTTCCACTCACTGGCCCAACCCAATCAGTCTATTACCGGTGGTCCAATCCCAAGCCACCTAGCAACTCAATAGTTGGAACTTTTATTAGACCAATGTAGACACATCCATTGTTGGACGAAAGCGTCGGGTCTCATGGGATGGGTCTTTGTACTCGAGATCATCAAACCTAACGTCTTGTTGCCGAGCCATCATCCTCGTTACTCACGTGGAATGCATCGGATGGTTGCTGAGCTTATCGAGTTGGGTCAGGTTCAGGTAGGTTGCCTGGTAACACAAGTCAGTCAGTACCTAATATCGCTTCTGTCCTCGATTTTGTATGCATGCATGCTGGATGCATATGTACTCTAGTCATTGTTCCCAATCATCATGACATGACCATCCTGTGATCTTGCCCCTATTATCTGCAACACTCCAGCGCACCAGGACCTGACGCGGGCTCTAATAAGGTGCGCATTCAGAGCCCTCCACTAAGGTACTCCACTGCCAGACGAGTATCCAGCGAGCGCTGAAACGCCTCCTGCAGTACCTCACTAAACCAGCTCCAGTAGGTACCCCTGGCTTGGGGCCTGTTTGACGGCTCGCCCCTCAATCCACTAACGGCCTGTGCCTGGCCTGAACGAGTCCGTCTGTCTGATGTACCTCAGGGAGCAACCCAAGGTACCCTGTCTCCTTGTGCGACGCCGTTCATAACCAGCCCGACGACACCTCATCTCATCCCATCTAATCTAGTCCTTCGTTTCCCTATCGCAACCTGCACACGTCCAACTACAACCTGCTGAACAGCTCGAATCCCCCCTCCCCAAAAGACCTCGAGGTCTTTCGACCAGAACCGCATTCGTCTTCTCTCGCTTTGAGAGTCCTCTGCAATCATGAGTCAGGTTAAGAACCTCCGCGCCATGTTTGAGAACAAAGGCGACACGAGCCCTCCCGACAGAGGCCGATCGTCAGGCGCCTCTACTCCCGTCCAAGGTACGACCTATACCCGCGCGCGCGGTGAACAATGAGCGTGTATGGAGGGCATATCCTCGCTGCAAAATAAACATTTAGAGCTGCTGCGCCGCGCCGCTTTTTAAGTTTAAAACAGCTTGAGCTTGCTCTACCTGTACCTGCCCTTGGTTCAACTTGCCCTGGAATTGTACACACTAGCTCCCAGCGTCATTCTTACCTACCGTGTCCTTCATTCTTTCCTTTTCTCCCTTCAACCCCTTGCTAACCAAAACTTGTCTTCTCTCTCCACAGGCACCAGTGTCGTTTCTGAATCGCCTCGACCACTCTCCAAAGTGAGAACCAACTTTGTCGCCATTGAGAAAGACGGAAGGATAGGCCTCCGAAGAGATCCCAGTCACGAATCCAGTGTTTCCCGCCGTCGATTAAGCATGGGCTCCGACGCAGAATCCGTCTCGACCGTTCCCGACAGACCCTCTGCATCTCTGGAAGATGCACCAAGAGGGAACAAGCCTTTCTTCCAGGAAGATATTCCCGAATCGCCTCGTCACCCAATTGACCCCCCAAAGACACCCACGGAGCAAATTGGAGCTGTTACCGATGAGCCTAGTGTCAACCCAGATAAGCAAATTGATAAGGAAGAACCGTCGCCTTCATTGCTGCCAGCAGAACCTGCTGTAGAAGAACCCGCAATGGCAGAGCCAGTTGCAGAGCCAATTGAGGAACCAGCTGCAGAACCAGCTGTAGTGGAACCAGCTTCCGCGTCGCCAAAGAAGGAGAAGAAGGAAAAGACGCCCGAAGCAGTTTCTACAGTTGCCAATGGCAAGCCCAAGACCAGCGCTGCTAAGGAACTAGCTCCTGCAGCTACTATAAAGGCTGCAACTCCGAAGAAGACCACCACGACTCGACCCAGTGCTGTCTCGACCAAGGTTTCCAATACCAAGCCTCCAGCGAAATCTCCATCTACTACAAAGCCTCCTACCAGCACCACTCATAAGTCAGAGCCCAAGCCAACGGCGAAGACTGCACCTGCAGCGAAGAAGGAACCCAGGCAAGCTCCAACAGCCGCCTCCGCAGCGACTCGGCCTACCGCAACCACGGCAGCCAAGAAGCCCCAGCCGTTGAAGCCCACTACCAGCGATACCGGCTTCGTGAAGCCTAAGCCAAAATCCCCCACGAAGCCTGTGCATCTCCCTGCGTCTCTAACGGCACCAACAGCAGCATCTGGAGCCAAGACCGGTCGTCAGGCTCGACCTTCAGCAAGCTCACAGAATCTTAGTGTTCCTGCCCGTCCCGCTAGCCGGGCCAGCGCGACAGGAGCCAGCAACAGCACGGGCAAGACTGTCAAGCGTCAGCCCTCAAACGTTGGTCGCCCGCGACCAAGCCTGGGCCCTCCTCCTAAGAAGCCTTCGGATCCAGCTCAAGTCAAGAAGGAAGCCCCCGTTGACGAGAGCTTTCTGGCTCGTATGATGCGACCGACACAGGCTTCCTCGTCAAAAACCGCTGAGAAGGTGCCCACCACACCACCAAAGAAGACTGCGAAACGACCTTCATCCTCAGGAACCGACCCCACGCGTCGTGAACACAGCGTTAAGACCCCAGGAAGTGCCAGGAAACAAGTCAGAAAGGCGGCTGAACCGAAGCGCTCCGCTGGCTCAGTAACTTCAGATACCCCATCAATCGAGATCGCCTCGGTAGAGCAGACATCTGAGCCTACCAAGACAGAGAACACCGAGGCGACTTCCAGCATCCAGGAGACCAAGGCAAAAGACGCACCTCAGGACTCGAACAAGTCCGAACCAGAGCCTACCGCTGTCGAGGACGCTTCTAAGAAAGCCGTGGAGCCCGCGCAGCAAGAAAACCAAGACCAAGATATCTCAGAGAAATCAACCGAGGATGAAGAGAAGAAAGCGATCCAGCCTGCCACCCCAGAGCCTGCCAACGAGCAGAAGCCTCTCGAAGTTCGTGAGACTTTTGCGTCGGAACATAAGGATACTTCGCACCAGGAGTCTCCCCTCGATGAGCCCGAAGCTTCTGATGTCAACTCCGAGAATCCTACCGAGAACGCTGATATTGTTCCCCTGGTAGAGGAGAACTCTTCCCAACCCCCCGTTGTCGTAGAGCAGACGAATGAGACTTCAGACAACAAGTCAGAGCCAGAGATCGACCAAGAGGTGGTACCTCTAATGGAGAAGGACCCTGAGCCTGCCCCTGAGTCAGAGACTATCAAGAAGCAAGATGCTGAGACCGAGGTCATCACCCAGAGTGATGCAAAGATCGACGTCAACGCCACTACTGCCGCCGAAGAGAAGGATACCACTGGAGAGCAGACCGAGGAAGAGAAGAAATAAGCACCGGAACGCGTTGCGGAAGCGAACCAAGCCCAGACATAGATGGCGGAGGATACAAGATTGCTGATTTAGCCATTGAGGAGAAGATTTTGTATTTTTGAGCTGCTGTATAGATACCTGTTTTAAGCGAAGGCGAATGGTGATTTTACCGCATACTGTAAAGGAGATACTCAACAAAAAAACAACACTGGGGAATAACAAAATACATGTAAAGCGGCAAACAGTCGCCCTTACTGAGATTGATTTTTGATACACAAACCGTCCTCGTTAGGACATTTAATCTAGTTGTACAATAGAGGCTTCCTTATTTATCGTATCATGAAAGCACGTAGGCTTCTTCAACCACTCAAACAGATCCCTTTTCAACGCTCACACTCATGACACCCTGCACACCAACAGACCTCCTTGCTTCTTCGCAAGAGCCTCTCGCACCTCCAAAACACCCTGAGACGTTGACACAAACAGACATTCTCCAAGATTTAGACCCGGCACAACACCACCAGAAACCTTTGTTGGAAATCCTCTTGAAAGTCTGGCGAGCTCCTGGATATTGGCCGTCATAAGACGCTTCGGTGTGCTGATGGCATTGGCTTTGCCGAGGACAGGCTGACCATCCCAGTACTTGAGACCCAACCACAGGCGCATCGTGGCGACGTTTTTACTTGTGACAACCTGGGGCTCCTTGCTAACCATCTCTTCCAGTGTAGGAGGATGAGGGCCAGCGCGGTAGACGGAAGAGAAGAAACCTGATCGGTGCATAGCAAGGGCGAGTTGCAGGTTGTATTTGCAGTTCTTGACAGATGTTATTCCAAGACGAGCTTTGGAGGCGTTCTGGAGATGCGAACACATGTTCGCGATGTTGGTGATGGAGGGCATGATGGGCGGTTCGGCCGAATGTGCGGCTGTGATTCGATCGAGGATGGATTGGGTGATAATCGTCGGTTCGATCTTCTGAATCTAATTATTGACGATCCTTGTTAACATGTCGTTCTTCGAGGGGTCCTATCACGGAGGTTGCTGAATTGGAGCATTCTGAACTCACTTCTGCACAACCGCAGACGAAACCAGTCTACTTTTAGCAGGGAGGCCAATTAATCAATTCCTCGAAACTCTCGCCGCTGGTAGTCGTGTGCCTGAAGCGACGGTATATCGGCCTCTTTCTGAAGTCCCGTACCTAACGTTCAAGATCGGACCAAAAATTCGAAGATGCGCTCGATGACTAAGCTGGACCCCCGTTATATGCATATTCTTCGCTCGATGCATTGACAATAATCAAGCAACAGTCGGCATCAGTGAATAGAGGAACACATCGATGGAATTGTAGAATTCCTTTCTTATCCAGGATGGCCCTTTTGATCCTAATGAATTACATTGCTTGGGATTTCGCAATACCTGCTAAACAGGCCACTATCAGGACCCAATCAACACAGCACCATAAGATACCGCAGTTTGGGCAAATGAAGTTTGAAGGAGCTTTGAGTGATAAATGGGACCGATCGAAAGCGAAATATGGCAGAGCACTTTGCGTACTGTTGATTAGGATTTTTGTCTATATAATACAGGTTGACTTTCAACAGCCAATAGAGTTACACAATTTCTATGAACAAAATGGGATGGTACTAGAGCAACTGAAATTGGCGCAGCTTCTCAGGTCTAGGGCAATTGCCGAATTGCCTTGAACATGGCGGATATTGACCGTCGATACCGGTAACAAAACATGGCCGTCGAAACAAGGAAAGGGCTAGCAATCAAACCCAAGAACCCTTGCACTAATATCTTGCCTTGCGTGTCACTCTTGTTGATGACATTTAAATAGCCCTCATTGCTGAAACTCACGCGGGAATACTTCGTCTGCCAACCTAGTCGCGGGAAGTACACGCTCATCCACTCCTCGAGATACTTCCGCAACCTATAGCGCTTAGATAGGACAGAGGATCGCATCTCGACATAGTTCTGCAATGCAAGATCGTTGATCGCATGGGCATCGGGCGGACGGACGGCTGAGTATTCTGCTAATGCAAGTGATCGCTGGAAGGCGGGTCCTGATTCAGAGGACGAGTCGCTAGAAGGATCATTGGATTCGCCAATATGGCTATGCTTGTCTAAGATGGAAAAGAGAATCCGGACATCCTCCATGCCAGCATTCATGCCCTGGCCATAGAAAGGCACCATGGCATGAGCAGCGTCGCCAACGATGACACAAGAAGAACCATAGTGATAGGGCTTGCACTTGAGACTAATGAGCGGCAGATGAGGGTTTGTGTTGAAGGATTCAATCAGCTCATCGCCGGGTATTAAATCAGTGACGCCAGGAAAGTGGCTATCGAAAAAGGACGGCACGCTGGCTGGGTTGTTCTCGAGGTCTGAGAAATCCTTGCTTGGCATGAAGAGTGTGCATGTGAAAGAGCCGTCCTAGCTGAGTGTTAATCAAATGTGGAGAAAGGGACAGAAGGAGAAAGACGTACATCACTGGGAATAGCAATAAACATGAAATCCTTGCCAGGCCAAATATGCAGGTGATTAGGCGATATCCGGAACTTGGCCATTGGATCGGCTGTGTTGTCTGTTTGAACAGGCTTCAGATGGAACTCGCACCACAGAGTATCAATGTACTCTTGTTGGTAGTTCATCCGGGTAAACTTCATGAGGTGGTAGCGAACAGCAGAATGGGCGCCATCAGCGCCAATCATGAGATCGAATGAGATATCAATCTCTCTGTAACGAGACTCTTCGGACGATTTTCCATCGGTCACCTCGAACCAGGCTTTGCAAGCGCGATAGTCTGCACCTGTGAGCTTGTGGTTGAAGAAGAGTTTGACATTGGGCATGTTATCCAGGGTATCGAGCAGCCGCTTGTTCAGACCTGCTCGATCAATGGCATGGATTGCCTGTCATTAAAGCGTCAGTTTTCACATGCGTAACCCGTAGAAGAATTGAGGTAATTTCGCATACCCTTCCTTTGACATCGTAGTCTTGAGACTGCTCAAAAAGAGATCCGGTCGGGCTCCTCCCATGAATCATGCGCCCTTTCATGGGAATAGTCGTTGACATGACATTGTCGAGGAGCCCTGGCTGACCAGCATGGCGCATAGCATTGATTCCGCGCTCAGAGATGGCAAGGTTGATGGACTTGGTGAAGTTGAGCGGGATAGTACTGGGATCCCGGAGGTCTAGACCAGTCAGTGAATGCGCCTCTGAGAATAATTATAGGACAACAAAGATCTCGCCGAAAAAGCGCCCAAGAAGATCTTCGCAGAACAAAGATAATTTCTCGAAAGTTGTCTCGGCTGTCCGGAAGTTGATTCTAGTTGATGTCACTTACCAGGTCGCAACTCATAAACTTCAACCTCATGTCCTCGTTGAGCAGCATACAATGCAGCCAGAGAGCCAACGGGACCGGCACCAACAACAACGATCTTCTGAGGTTTCTCCATCTTTGAGATGTTGATGAGGACGAACGGAAACAGAAGAGGAAAAAAGTTCAAGTCTCGAACTGGCGAGACATTGAGGTCGTCATACTAATACAGTACCTAGAAACTGATTTAAGCCCCGATAGGACCGGCTGCTCATGTTGCATCAAAGCGATAGCGGCCGGCCGGAAGCGGGGATCCACTCTATCCATCAGAGAGAAAAGCCAAGAGGCAAGAATAACCCACAAGACCACTTACCAACCCCGGCATTCGGTGTTGTTCTGAGTAATTGCCGCAAGCATTGGAGACGGAAGGAAGGAAGGGTCAGGTCTGTAATTCTGTCGAATGGAATTGCTACAATTGCAAGTTCCGAATTGGATTTCACAGAACTCAATATCTAATACGTGCTACAATGCAATTGCAAGAGGTAATTACACGATAACTATTGCTCACTCTATATTGTCAATGGCTCATTATGGGAGATTACCTGAATTACATTGCCTTGTCTCGTTGTATTACTCTTGTTAGGTGCTATGCTTGTGCCTCGTTTAGTAACTTGCGTAACATCTGTCAGAGTTCAGTTATAGTCAAAGAGAGATTTGTCTCGTGTTCCAGCTTTCCAGAAGTGCTATAAAATTTATGGTATGGAATCCATGTTATATCACACCCTGGTCGGGCTTAGTGTCGGCTCTGACTTTTGTACTCTTCACCTTTATGCACTGACTTCTGTTAGTCTACCGTCGACTGAGCTCACCTCCGTTTTGGCACGAACCCCCACTTTCCCAAAACAGTACCGTTTCGAGGAGCATCGCTAGTGTCCATTGTTAGCGCTCCGCCCGCATAAAATGCATAAAATCACTGCGGCCCCTCCGCCATTAAACGAGCTCCGTATGGCGCCAAGGGTCGCTTGTTCACTGTTACAGTAGATAGTAACGACCCTTATCAAGGCTTATCAAGTCGCCGCAAATGGGGCCGAGCCGATCTTTTGCTCTCCTCTGAAAGTTACACCTCGAGAGACTCCTCCGACACTGAACCTAAGGCACTTTTAACTTAGCGCTTCGTGATCGCATAATTATTGCTTTCTTGTACACATTTTGTTGGATCGACACACCATTTTCCCACGACATACTTCCGCACGAGTATCAACACCAACACAATGGCTGCTGATGCCCCCGCCAAGCAGTGCATGGGCGCCGACTGCTCGAACGATGCCGGATCACTACAGTGCCCGACTTGCCTGAAGCTTGGAATTAAGGACAGCTTCTTCTGTTCTCAGGAATGCTTCAAGCGTAACTGGGTATGTGGTATAGCTTAACTGTACGCACCATTAACATCAGCTAATTATATCGTAGGGCATTCATAAGACAATGCACAAATCGCAAAGTAATATCCTCCACCACTTGAAAGCCCCGAAAGCAATCTCACCAGATCCAGCTACCGGTTACTACAACCCGTTCCCCAACTTCCCCTACTCTGGCTCCTTGCGACCCGTCTATCCTCTGTCGCCGCACCGAACTCTCCCCCAGTCGATTCCTCACCCCGTGTGGTGGCAAGACGGCAACCCCAGGTACAGCCGCTCTCTCACCAACCGCAACAAGATCGAAATCCTCGACAAGGCCGGCCAGGATGCCATGCGAAAGAGCTGTAGACTGGCGCGAGAGGTTCTCGACATCGCTGCCGCCGCCGCCAAGCCTGGTGTCACGACCGATTACATCGACGAGCTCGTCCACAAGGCTTGTATTGAGCGAAACGTATGTATTATGGAATCTCTGAAAAGATGGTCTGGGCTGCTATTGTCATCGCATAAATATTGACCACAGCATAGTCTTACCCGTCTCCTCTGAACTACAACAACTTCCCCAAGTCTTGCTGTACATCTGTTAACGAAGTCATCTGCCACGGTATCCCTGATCAACGTGTTCTGCTGGACGGCGATATTCTCAACATCGATGTTTCCCTGTATCACGAGGGATACCACGCCGACTTGAACGAGACCTACTACATTGGTGACAAGGCCAAGGCCGATCCTGATACTGTTCGCGTGGTTGAGACCGCGCGACAATGTTTGGACGAGTCCATCAAGGCTGTGAAGCCTGGCACCTTGATCCGAGAATTTGGTAACATTATCGAGAAGCACGCCAAGAAGCACAACTGCAGTGTCATTCGAACTTACTGTGGCCATGGAGTCGGCAAGCTTTTCCACTGCCCTCCCAACGTCCCCCACTACGCTAAGAATAAGACCGTCGGCGAGTGCAAGCCTGGCATGACATTTACTATCGAGCCCATGATTGCTCTAGGAAAGTACCGAGATATCACCTGGCCCGACAACTGGACAAGCACCACCATTGACGGCAAGATGACTGCTCAGTTTGGTAAGTTGAGCTTGAGATGTGTGGCAGCGACACGCGCTAACATGAATTGCAGAGCATACTCTTCTTGTTACCGAGGATGGTGTCGAGATTCTGACAGCGCGACAGGAGAATTCTCCTGGTGGGGCTCTACCAATGCCCAGTGCCGAGAATGGCGATGCGAAAGCCTAGATTGCTATATAAAAGTTGTAACAAGAAAGAACATGAGTTTTGACATTATCACATAGCTACAGGAGTTTGGGGGTGATGAGCGGGTTGATGATGATGATGATGATGATAATGATGGCAATTTAGTGGTGCATTGTCAGGATGAGCAGTGAGATATGAGGTCAAAATTGATGTGTTTGATATAAGCATCGCAAGGCTGCATATGAATTATTAGTTCCACGTGCCAAAAGCATGTGAAGCCATGACATTCATGTGGATATCGTTATCGATCAGCCTTGTTTGTTTGCTAGACCTACCACAGTTACATCATCTCAGGTCACGGTCCAAGTACCTACTGGGCTGTGGAATGACGCAAATGGCATTCGACTCGCTGTCAAGTTTCGAGTTTCGAGGGAGCCCTGAGTCGCTGTTGAATAGATGACTCTCAGCCACATGCATGCAGGCAGGCGCCCATCGGCCACGCCATACGCCGTCAAATCCATGCCTTGGGCGTTTCCAGTGCAAGGGATCCAGATACTGTAGAGAGGTAGGGCCGGACCTGCCAGGATTTATCTACAGGGGATTTGGAGATTTTTTTGTGCCCTGTGAGCTCCCCGTCGTCGCCGCTTCCATCATTGCCGCTAGCTTTAATCTGGCTACTTGCCTACAATACCTAACGTCCTAACCTCTCCAGGTCCCTCTCCACCTCCACCATCTCCACCAGAAGTCACCACCGCTGCCACTACTCTACCATAATCCCCATCCATTGCCCGCCACCAATATTTCTCCTCCTCACTACTTTCTGTCTACTACAGTATTCCCCTCACGTTCTGCACATCTGAACCCTTCTCTGCAAGGCACTGTTACTGTTGACTTGTTTAAGCTGTCTATTTGCGACTCAACCATCCCACGAGGCTTATCATCCCTTCTTCACTACGCCGCTTCGCCAGACTCAGCTTGTGCCAGAGCTCGCTTGATAAATAGCTAGCTGTCCTCGTCTTCGTCCTCGATTAACATCGTCATCCCAACCTTTCGACCACTCGCAACGTCGCCCACACATTTTAGCCCAAAATGATGTCCGGAGAAGCTTGGTTGTTCCTGTTGTCGGTGCTTATCAACGCCGTCAACCTCTTCCTACAGGTCTTCTTCACTATTATGTACAGTGATTTGGAATGGTATGCTTGCCCCGGCCCTGTTCTACGTTGCTTCGGGTGTCAAACTTTGCGCCTCGGAAGCGCGTGGTTGAAATGCCACCTGGGATGAAAGCTAATCGTCTATTTACAGTGACTACATTAACCCCATTGACCTCTGCAACCGACTCAACACCTACATCATCCCCGAGGCTGCTGTGCACGGTTTCTTGACCTTCCTCTTCCTCATCAACGGATACTGGGTGCCTCTTATTCTCAACTTGCCACTACTTGGCTGGAACGTCAAGAAGTAAGTTACCCGAGCTTGAAGACCGGGACAAGAATTAACCAGGAATAGGATTGTTGACAACACTCACCTCCTCGATGCGACTGAGATCTTCCGCAAGCTCAATGTCCACAAGAAGGTATGAATCAGAAATCTAGTCTTGTAGATACACTATTAACTTGGGGTAGGAATCTTTCTTCAAGCTGGGTTTCCACTTGATCATGTTCTTCTTCTACCTCTACAGCATGATCGTTGCTCTTATCCGAGACGAGTCCTCTTAAATGGCTGCGGTTGTGAACGAGCAGCGATCCGAATATCACCGACGTTAGGAGACACCTACGTGAGATAGAACAGATTGCAGTATTCATCCAGCTGTTTGAACTCGGCTGACACCCAGGGCCGGGTCGATCAGCTACGCGACGAGAAGATATGAACCTGCCACGGCAGCACATAACGAGTGGAAGATGGTATAGATTGATGATGGGCTTTAAAGAGGCGGGCTTGGCGTATATATCCTGGTATCATGCCAGCTGGCGCTCTGGTTGATTACTTCATGAAGGCGGTGCGTGGCATGTTATGCTGGGAATGAGGCATCGTAACCCGGTGATCTCATGCATCGTCCCCCGGCATACAGCCAGTATAATTGATTAATGACCGAATAAAACATCCAGATTTTGTACTACAAACTCGCCGTGCAGGCGGTGTGCAATCGCTTGAGAAGTCATGATATGAAACTGAAATATTCGACATCTGAAGGTCCTCGTCAGAAGAATTAGCCGTTGGAAGCACGAGACGAAATAAGATGGCCACCTTGTGCTAACTTAGACCAACACTTAGGCTACTTTCGTCTAACAGCCTCGGTATTAAAGACCTATCAATGATTGTCTAGCATCCTCGGTGGTTTTAAGGTTGACCTCTCCAGACAGGTCAAAGTTCGGGCTTATCGCAAGAGAAATCACCCACAGCAACTAAACTCCAACTCTCGCCAACACAGTTGTGAGTAACTCGTATAAAGGCTGGTGTGCCCAGACTATAAAAGCTATAACCTCGGAGGGCAATTCTTCTCTTACCCAGTACTCTTAAACCTGCGAGGTCGCTCATGCGTGATGCGATCATAGTCACGTGACCTTGAAATAATTTGGCGACGTTGAGTCTGTCGCGCCTCGATGAAGCTCTAGCTCCGCATTGCGCATTCATCAAAAACACACCAAAACTCTTTCCATCATGGCAGACTTTGGGGAGTACCCGCCGAACATGGCGCCCCAGGACGCGCTCATTGTCCGAGAACAAGCTGAGCCTGACCATGCCGTGGTGCCTTACACAGCTGAAGACTTGTCGCGTCCAAAGGCTGGCCCATTGAACCCTTTCAAGGACGAGAGCAGCGTTTTGAAGCGTAAGAGCGTCCCGACCGGACACGCCGAGGAGACTTACTTGAGCGAACACACATTCCGAAGCAAACACCGCGCTATCGAGCGACGAGGAGGCCCTGAGCGAGAGTACCAGACGACCGCAGAAACAAAGGCAGAGGCCGCGAGGATACGGGCTGGACGTGAAAACAAGGGCAGCGCAACTATTGTGGAAGGTCCTGGCTCCTATGTTGGACCCTGGGCTCGATATAAGAAGCCCGAGTACGAGATTGTGGCGGAAGATGAGGAGCTAGCGAGCGATGAAGAATATGAGATTGTGGAAGAGGAGGAAGAGGTCGTCGAGAGTGGAACAGTCGTCAAGGCACCGACAAAGGCGCTCGAGCAACGAAAGGAGGCCGAGACAATGGGAGAAGAGAGAACCGAATTCCACGGGTCCGCCGAAACCGATTACCAGGGAAGGACTTATATGCACGTTCCTCAGGATCTCAATATCGACCTTCGGAAAGAAGTTGGCAGTATCACCAACTACATTCCCAAAAAGCAGTGCGGCTCCTGGAAGCACTCCAAGGCAGCGATTACTGCATTGCGTTTCTTCCCTACCTCAGGTCACTTGCTTCTTTCAGCAAGTGCCGATTCAACTGTCAAGATCTTCGATGTTTATCACGACCGAGAGTTACTGCGATCGTATCACGGCCATTCCAAAGCTCTGTCGGATATCTGCTTCAACACATCAGGCACTCAATTCTTGTCTTCCTCATACGATCGCATGATTAAGCTTTGGGATACAGAGACAGGTATCTGTGTCAACAAATTCACAACCGGCAAAACTCCTCACGTCATCAAGTTCAACCCCGACCCTGAGCATTCGAACGAGTTCCTTGCTGGTATGTCGGACAAGAAGATTGTCCAGTTCGATATCCGAACCAAGGAAGTTGTACAAGAGTACGACCACCACTTGGCGGCTATCAACACCATCACCTTTGTCGATGACAACCGACGCTTTATGACAACTTCCGACGACAAGTCTCTCCGAGCTTGGGATTACAACATTCCCGTCCCAATTAAGTACATCGCTGAGCCAGACATGTACCCTATGACACGCGCAGCGCCTCACCCAAGCGGCAAATACGTGGCATACCAAAGTTCCGACAACCAGATCCTGGTGTATGGCGCAAACGACAAATTCCGACAGAACAGAAAGAAGAGCTACCGAGGCCACAACAACGCTGGTCTAGGCATCGACCTCGACTGCAGTCCCGACGGCCAGTTCCTCGCTTCAGGTGACTCTGGCGGTTACGTGTGCTTCTGGGACTGGAAGACGTGCAAGATGTACCACAAGCTGAAGGCTGGCAACCAGGCCATCACCAGCGTCAAATGGCATCCTCAAGAGACAAGCAAGGTAGTGACGGCGGGTATGGATGGCGAGATTCGATACTGGGATTAGAAGATATTGGGATTAATGGGCGTGGGTTGCATGGCATGGCGTTTGGGATGTTAGATGAAATAAATAAAATAATATGCTAACATGTTACTTGGTACATGGTATCTTTTATGTGAGACTGTTTTTATACTGCCTATGCCGACGACATACACAATCGGCATGCTGATATCACTCCACGAAAGCCTCTGGTCCTCGGCGACCAGGTCCTCGTTCTCATGAGACTATGTCTTGTCTCCATCTTGCCATCTATCAGATACGGTCTTGGTGGATTACGAATTTGACCACCAATAGGTGGCAACCTACCATTCACCGTTCTTTTCCACGGATTGTAGAATACTTCGAGGCTAAATAATGCGTCGCAAAGAATATCTGCATGTCACGACCGACAGAGATCCAAAGGCTTTGCCCATTCAAGTCTTTAAAACCTATCAATACCGTCCTATGTCTTAACGATTCCTTCTTGTACTTCACAATTTTGCACTGAAGTTCCAAGTTGTAAATCATTCTTCAAATTGAGGGATGGTGTCTCGAATCGTACATTTCTAGCTTGGAAGAATCCGCCGTAATGGCGACAGATTACACATTTGATGCAGCAGACCTACTGGTTCATAAGTGTTAGAAATTAAACCTCCTCCTTCTTTTTATGTTCAGTGTTTCTTTGCTGAAGGGCCTACAAATCTTGAGTGTACTGGTAGTGGTTGATGCCCTCGCTTCACTACCCTGGAGAGTTTGAACAAGTGGACATCTTGGACAGGCGTCGACGATCTGAATGGCATGGGCTTCTTTGGTATCAATGAATTGATACCAAACTGCCAGACCACTGGTGTATTCTCTGTCTATTCCTGTAAAGGGATATCATTTAGATCATGGACGAGCTCTGGGCATCCCAATAGATGACTGTTCGAGGTTGAACCACGTCGAAAGGACAAAACTGGTTGAGAGAATTATTTCAACAAATAATATGAGCATGGTGAAAAACATGTTAAAGTATGATGATAAGTCTAAGAGTTCCCAGAAGTACTCATTGTCTTAGGAAAGTCCGGGACACCAGCACACCAAAGGCTGGCGGATACTTGTTCATAGGGAAAGTGACCACACTTGATAACACTTCATTCTGAGTTAGCATCTTGTATCAAATTCAATGTCGCTATATCGTGGTATTATGGAGAGAAGAGATACAGGGCGTCTCCGTACAGCATAATGGTAACTACAACTCGAGCCAGTGGTGAACTTGAGTTCTCCTTATGGATCCAACATGCACTGGACATGATTCGAAACAAGGGAATATGATAGACTGATCACAGTAGAGCTCACTCATGCCAACTATAGTGCAACGCATTATAACTACAGTAACAGTGCCGTAGTCTTGCAGGTGCAGTACAGTAGCCTAGTAAGGATCCAGCTGCAAGACGACATGCAGGTTTCCTGAAAGAGTTAACTCAGGTCCTACATACTACATATGCATGCTTAAGCTATGGGATATGATCGACGTCAACCATACTCAACCCCGCCTTGTGTTTTCAAGGGCCTTGACCTTCCAGCTTCAAAGAGGATGGATCTTGAGTGCTTGAGCCCCAGACTCAATGGCCAAGAAGGGATTGTTTTGCGTGAACGCTTCGACGAGCTGACGGCAAGATCTTGGCATTGACTATGACCCTGTCGTACGTACGTGCCACTCTCATGCTTAACCTGTTGAGAAGTTAAGATTCGTTGCACATTGCAGCCCTTCGGGTTGACTTTGCAGTAGGGGCTGTACAATGACGCAGAACATAGCACCTGCAGTATGTACAGTACATGCCTATAGTAGTACCGAGATACTATCTGATAAGCATGGCATGGAGCGTTTCGATGAAGTATCTACTTAAATATATTTGGCGAGCTTAGGTGGATAAGGAAGTTAGCAGCATTGACCGGTGAGATAATGCTGTATCTAATAAATGAGTAAACTCCACCAGTACTAGAATATCTTCCCGACAAAAACAGCTTCTATCTCGGTAGATCATACGAGAAACAGCCTTTTCAATAAGGGGACACGGATAATTCAGCTTCGCAAGAGTGTTTACTATCCAGTTGGATCGGGGCAAAACTAGAAACAATCTGATGATACTTAAGATACTATACATCAACGCCTTCTACCAAACCTGTAAACGTTACGCATGATTATGATTGCTTCGCTTGCCTTCGTCACCTGCATCGCTGTGCAAAAAAGCCTGAATGTAGCTTTTCGCCAACAACAGTCAACAGCATAATGGTAATAAAAACACAACAGAATTACGAGATATGCCTCAGACACACAGGCATAATCCCCAGTCCAGCATCTCCCCTTTTAAAAGTTGCCTTTTCTCCCAGTCTTGTTACTTCGTATATCGCTTCCACCGCAAATACAGCTTGTGCCCACCTCGGTAGGAAGGCATTTAGGCGCTGTCAATCCATTGGTAAACAGTGACAAGGGTGGTGTATACCATCGCGATGAATCCAACCACCATAACGACGATGTCGATGATCTTGGCCCTGGTGGTTTGAGCTGCCCCGTAATAATGCAGCAACGCAGGGTAGATGTATACCAGAGGAACGCAAGCAAAGCTGCCGATCAATGCCACAAACTTGTCCAGATCACTTGCACCGAGAATGCTGATGCCTACGCACACGCCCGCAATAAAGGTTCTCAAAGCGTTCTTCTTCCACTTGATCGCGCTGCTCTTCTTTCCAGTTGCTCGCTCTCCGAAGATTGATGTCTCGATGATACGGGCAGCTGGGAACAGCTGGACGGGATCTCCAGCAAGGACTGCCAGGGAATAGAGAAACTGAACAGCGTTGACAAGAGGCGAGTCCTGAGGAAAGTTGGAGATAACCTGGATCTTGGTGTCCTCACCGAACGTCGCGTAACAGAGCGCTCCCACTGATGTGAAAATGATGGTAATGATGAACATAACCAGGTAGAGAAGGCCTGGAAAGTGCTCAGGCTTCTTCATACTTGACTGAATGGGCAAGATGAGTCCGATGCCTTCAAAAGTGAAGATGCCTGATCCAACAGTCAAAGTGAAATCTCTGGGGTTAAACAGCTTCACAGTCGAGTCCATGCCGTGCTGGGAGAGTGCTGCGATGTCATAATACCAGATATAGACAATGCCAATGAGAATAAAAACATCAGCGAGGAGAGCGGCGGGCCCGAGCTTGGAGATATTTCGGATCAGGGCAAGAGGAACAAGGGCGACCAACTGGAGAGCGATCAGACTGGGCACATTGAACATCAGCTCGCGGTGGTTGGCGGTCACGGCATCGAGGAAGGCATATAGGTTCTCTGCCGTGAAGATGAGACCGGCACAGACGAATCCAAGCTGGGAGATTGCAATTGATGCAAGAACCAGACTTCTGAACCGGGGACCAATGATTGCTTCACCGAGCTCTCCGTAACCGCCTCCGTAGATTTGACGGCAGTCCAATAGAAGTCTGAAACATCCGCAATTGACCAAGGAAAGCACAATCAATGTGATCGAGGAGAACAGAATTCCACCATTGCGAAAGGCCTTGGGCAGGAACATGATCCCGGTTCCAATAAAGGCTTTGATCAGAGTGAAGAAAGTCTTTGTAGTTGTAGCATCGCCCGTCTTTCGCAGTCTCTTAGAGCTTCGTCTTCGTCCAAGTAGAGGTCGCAACTCAGGTGGCTGCTCAACGTCGCCGTCCTCCCGATCGTCAATGGCAGACTCGTCCTCACTGTCGGCATCTTCGAGATCTTCACCGGCAAAGCTTCCGTACAGGTCAAGGAAATCGACAAAGTTCTTGGCCACAATTGTATAGCCGCTCATGCGTCTTTGTCGGGCACGTCGCTGAATGTGATATCGTCGAAAACCTCCCGGCTCACGCTGCTCGGAGTGACTCAGTTCGTCTTCGGCCGCAAGGCGAGGAGTGGAATGATGAGAGAAAGTAGCGGCGCGACGGAGGGAATTGGCGCGGGCCTTGATCTTGAACATGTCGCGGTGCATGTCACCACCTTGTAGAAGGAGCGAAGACTCGACAGCGTCTTGGGAGTCATCGTTGACATTTGTAGCTGAGGCGGAAGCTGATGCCGACGCTGAAGGGTCGGCAGGCCCAAATGCAACATCAGGCTCGGCCGAGTATCCATCTGGAAGATGTCTGTCAAGGATGGCAGCTTTTCTCTTGCTCGTCTCGCTGCCCAGACTGCTGGGAGTCCCGTCGAAATTGGCAAATTCGGCCATTGCTGGGGGAGGGGGTTCACAGAAGAGTTTGACGGTGACGTAGTGTGCAGTTCAGTAGTGGCGGTGGAATGGAAATGAAGCTCAATGAAATAGTACAGTTGATGGAAGTTTAAACAATGCTTAGAATCACAAGTTGGTAGTGGGTTGTCATAAGCTGTGTTAGCCGTCACTGCAAGCGTCAACTACCGTCTAGCGACAGCAGGAAAAAGAGCAACAGAGGATTTAAAAGAAAAGAAAAGAAAACATCCAAGGCCTGCGAACGGCAAGTCCTAAGCTTGGTCTGGTCTGGGTCTCTCTTGTTGTACTGTACAAGCCCGGGTCGGTGAATGTCTCTCCCGGTCAAGTAAGCTAACGCTTTGAGGTTTGGGACAGTGGAGACCAGAGCCCACGTGCAGCATCTCAAGACCTATAGAAGGTACTCGATACCTCATAAGTCTCAACAATGGGCGGTTAAGACTGGATATAAGAGGGTCAACAAGGTACCCACTACTGACTGACCAGCTCACTCTGGGTTCGGTAACGGTACAGCGTCAGTCAATGAACTGTGCAGGACAAGACTGATGTGATGCAACCAGATGAACACCACAACCAGCATTCACCCTTCCCCATTTGATCAAATCGAAACTTCTAGAGAAACAAACAGAGCCGTAGATCAAATGATACCGCTGCGACCTTCCATTTTCGCTTAAAGAGTACCAGATGTATGCTGACTCTGACGTACTCGCCCGCTCGCAATAGCAGTAAGAGCAGCATCTTTACAGTATTAATTGAAAATCAGGTGGACGAATAAACTACGTCGCGCATTCGTGCAACAGTTTAATGTGTAACAATCCAATAGACAATAAGTTCTGGTCAACATGAATGTTCCTCTTTGTTTAATCGGAGAGTCAACATCTTTCCCCACTCTTCATGATGGAGTGATCAAACGATTAACCGGAGAAAAGCCGCTTGAGTTGGGCAAATTTTCTCCTCAGGCACGCGGCGAGAAACTAAACCCAATACGTTTGACGCGCCTGTCCTTTCGCAGCCATCACCATCAGAAAGCTCACTCATCTCATCAACCTCACTCATCCCACTTAATCTCATCACACCAATCAAGATGAGCTTCGCACCAATCAACCCTCGCCCTATGCTCGAGAACCTCGTCAGCAAGCAGGTTCTTGTTCGCCTAAAATGGGGTGAGGTCGAGTACAAGGGAACTCTAGTCTCCATCGACAGCTACATGAACATTCAGCTTTCTGGCACCGAGGAATACATCGCCGATAAGCCCACTGGCTCCTTGGGACAAGTATTGATCCGGTATGAACCTCCCATCAAGCACATAATGCAAGCAAAGATATTTGATACTAACTGCGCTGCCTTGATAGATGCAATAACGTACTGTGGGTGCGCGCAGCTGATGGAGGAAGCGACGCGGATGCTGCCATGACTGGTTAATCTGCTAGGACGGCTATGGATGAGAAAATCTGATCTGAAGGATAGAGAGGGGGATACGGCGCTCTCAAATTACGCAGACTTACTCTGGTCTGAGTCCCGACACTGACCTGACGCGACACCGCTTTTTTCGACCACCACCAAAACTACGCCTGAGGCTGATTTGATTTCATGTACTCACGCACATACGCACGCTTCGCTGCGACACCGCACTTGTCGACTCTGTTCAAAATTTAGATATGAATTCCAGGTGGATGGCCCAAGCAGCCAAATAGAAAGGCAGGACTGCTGGGTTTTAATTCTTATTTCAATGTCTGGATCGCATCAACTTGCCCTCACCGCCGCCCTCGCCCTCGTGTTGTTGTTTTTGGTTGAGAGCCTAGGTCTGCCTCACATTGGATATTCGCGCATATTGAGTCTTGAGGGCTAACAATGATAAGGCCTTGAACCATATCAGTGGTAAAACTCAAAACTGCAAAACCCGAGTGATTACAAGTCCAGGTGCCATCTGGGGTGGTGATTCGACCTGGGAAATTGACTGCTGCGTCGATAACGGGCTTCTGTGAAATGGGAATACTTCCTCATTCGAGACTCCCCGACTGTATCAGTCAACAGTGTGTGTGGCTCTTACGGACCAGGGTTTGTGAAGAACAGGCTGCAATTTCCAGTGCCGATAGTGATACGAACATACCCTGCGGGCAGATCTCAGTATTTTGATAACGTCACAGGAGTCGGCTTAACTGGCTGCCGGGTCGAGACAAATTCAGAATATACTATGGGCATTCAGACTATTAGGTATTGGACGTCGTAATGGCTCCTCAACACCCATGGAACGACAGTCCGATGCAGGGAGAGGTCATCAGATGATGCTTTATGTACAAGGGAACCTATCTCTGATGCTATTATCGACCAAGAAAATTTCATAGTACAGGACGTGGATATCAACGGTCGCCGGAGCCACATTGCTTATCAATAACCTTGCTTAAAAGCAAATATCAGCGCGGGAGCAGCTTTAACAACGAACCCTGTTGAGCAAGAGATGTCTTTCACCATGTATTGGTTATCGAGTCCTGTCCTACAGATTTCAACGTAAACCGCAGGTAGGCCCCATTGTCAATCCTGAGCCTGGATCTTGTGTATATCATACCAATTTGATTTTCTGTCTAAACACTCGCCAATTCCCCTTTGACGATCTCATATGGGATCTAGTGTGATGACAGCGCACTTCTTGCGATAGGTTCCTCGTGTTGTCGCTGATGACGGCGAATTAGCGTGCCGCACTTTTGAATTTCTCAGACACGACATCCACGTAGTCCATTGACATTGGGGCCGGTGCTTCAACACGAGCAATTCATACCACCATCGTGCATATGGATGCTGACGGTACTCAGGTAGTTTAATGAATCTATTTGAACTTGTCAGGAATAGCCAACTTGAATTTAAAAGGGATCAGAAGATAGAGCGAAGCGTTAAAACGTACTCGATAAAACCTGCAACATCGTCTGTTCCTTGTGGGAAGTCCTCTTTGCTTCCCGTCCAGAAATCGCCTCCACGTGGCAAGCGTATATCGACGAATTGTTTTAATAACCACAGTGCATCATCGTGACCCAGTGGCTGGTTCACCTCAGGACGTTTAGTCGGAGGCCTTGACCCTTGCTTCCCATTCGGAGATAGACATAATTCCACAGGATATCTCGACTCTTCAGAGGCAAATACCGAAGATGATAACGAGAAAGGTGAGGATACAGGCTCACCCCTGACGGCTTTCCAGAGCGACAGAAAATCTTGACCGTTTTGATGATTACCCATGACTGACAATGGCAGGGTACACATTGAATTGTGTACGGGAACCTTAAGCGTAAAGCCAGCTGCTGTTCGCAGATCTATACCCAATTCTGTGAAATGGATGGTACGTGTATCGTCTCTCTCAAGTGGCGCAATAGAGGGGCCTAGTTTAAAATCCCCAGAAAGAATGGACCCATCTTTGGCTTTGTACTTGAGTCGAAGTCGCCCGCGTTGAGAAACCTCAACATCGTGGCCGTCTATGGATTGTAGACCAAGAACTGGAGATTTGCCTATTTTGCCCCTTGTTTGACTAGCGAGCCAATGTGATTGCTGGACCATGAACTTCTGGGAGGCTGCTTGCAGCATCTCTTCCAAGGTTGTTCCAAAGGCTCGATCACCTGTGCTATTTTCAAAAAAAGCTGCGATGAACTTTTGGCGTTCAGGTTGAGGATGATCAGGGCCTCTGACTTCCATTGAAGCAGCAATCCAGGTGTTTTCTTTTAAGCCCTGGAGAAACTCTACCCATTCCATTTTCCCAGCAGCCCAGCCACACAAACTGGCAACTCCATCCGAGAACAATGCCTCGGCCTGTTGTCGTCTATCAGGGGAATTAGGCGGACCACAAGTCTGCCCACAGCGCTCAAGGGCCAGCTTGTATCGGTAGAGAGGGTGTGTACTGTGGGAAACTGTTGTAAACAACGAGGAAACAACGTGTGCTTGATCTTGGTTCTGCTTAGAAGAGGTATTGCCTCCCATCGCAAGAGCTTCCGAGCAATATGAGAGGGGGCTGGGTGCTGTCCAGTTTCGCTGGAGAAGGCCGTCAGGTAATCTCTGGATATAGCTGTTGATTACAGCATTTTGAAAGGACTTGACGCATTTGGATAGTTCGGAATAGAAAAGATTCCTGTCATGCTCCCATTCAAAAGGAGGAGTGGCATACAAAGGAACCTCGACAACAATCAAACCTCCAGTGTAACGGTGAACACTTGATGCGACGACAAACAGATGTTTGTATTTGCTCACCCTGTCCCTCCACTGAGGGAGAGACTCGTGATTTTTGATAAAGTCATGGACCTTTCTCCACCTCTCCAACGTGCTGTCTGTAGGTCCCCAGTTGTTAGATTTTAGCTTGGCCCTTGAGTTGTCCTGGTGATCTTCTTCAAATGTTGCTCGGGGTCTCTTCCTTGATTCCATCACTACAGCCGTCAAATTCGGCGGGTGGACATCCTCTAAAGAAATCACCTTGTGTGATAGATACAGATCAAGCACCAGCCTCCTATCTTCTGAGATCGAGAATGTGGTTGGGATCTGTGTTTCTGACACAATAAGCCCCGTTTCGGAGCTCAGCTTTCTGGAAGCCATGATCGCCGAAGTGTTCAGTTTCGTTGCGGCAACAAATTGGTCCTTTGCTCTTCTCAAGACTTTGAAGTATTCTACTCGTTCGAGTTTTCTCCCCGTTTCGAGACTGAGTTCGGCAAGTAGGGTTTCTCTTGAGCTGAATAAGCTCTCAGAACATGACAATAGATGAATTGCGGTGTCCAAATAGACGCAGGTGGCCACCCAAGGGTACCAAAACAATTTATCAAGGCTCGCCGTCGTTGGGTGGCGGACGTAGTTGCCAGGGTGTAGGTGCGGGATGACGACCATTGGGCATTGAATGCCTGGGACCTCCAGTACTTGAGGTATTCCAACTTCTTCGATGAGACTGTGTCTGAGTCAGAGACTGAAATACAGTAAGGGTCTTGAACATACGAGTCAGGTGGTGAGAGTCGACGAGAGGGTTGGCACAGCCAAGCGTAAACATGCTTCCCAAAAGTGACAACAACAAGTGGTTGAATCGTCTCTAGCCAAGAGTCGAACAAGAGCTAAATTCTAATCAGTGAAAATGTTCAAACTATAGTTCAAGATACTGACTCTTGATCGCCTTTTCTGGTCAGAGTTCAGATTTGGCCAGTTCAAGAGCTGATTAAAGCTGACTAGATTCTCAAAGGGTTTGATAGAATTATCGTATCCATCCGTCTCGAGTGAAGCCATATATGTAAGTATGCTCCGCAGGAAGCCGCTTGAAGCCCGCATGCCGTCCAGAATATGAGAGCCGTCTTTGATACTTTCGAGGGGTGGTTCCAGGCCACAGATGGCGAGGGGTGACAAGCCATCAACTCCCACTCTGGCAACGGCCTGATTAGCCGTGCTGATGATGTATTCGCGTCTCAAATCTTCTTTGACCACATCTTCGTACGTCCAGACATTTTCCCGAACGTAGCTCTACCAGTCGTTGAAAAGATCTTGGGTACGAACGGCCATGGCTTGTGGCGGAGGAGTACAGTGCTCAGTAACATTGTCCAAAAGACGCGTCTTGCAGTCTATGAAGACTTTCCTTTCTTCAAAACCAGGAGATAGCATTCTATGCTTCCCCCCTCGTTGCCGATTGAGAAGCGTTGGAAATCCAAAGAATGAAATCATACAACGCTCGACATGATCTGTAGCAGCAATGTAAAAGCGTTTGGAGAATACAGACCAGTTCTCCGTCATGACATTAAAATCATGAATATGGCTTCCGTGTATAACATACACCTTGTGAAGCTCATAGACTTGTGGAAATAGATGACTCAAGAGAGACAAAAACGTTCCGAAGAATGATTGCGGACGCTCCGTTTGCCTTTGTGCTCGTATGAAGGGATTTCTGGGTGCAGAGGTGGTCCCTACGTATCGAACGGTAACAGTTGTCGTGGGTTTACAAGACCCGAGTGTTAAGGTCCACAAGTCCACCATGTCGCCGTAGCCGCTTTTGCGAAGCTCGTCGACTATCTTGGAAAGCTGACTGGCTTGCATGGGCCAAGACCGGAGATAGCAGACAGATCCAGAGTCGAGCTTGGGAGATGATTTTGTTGAAAGTTCGATCGGTATCATTCTCGCAACTTGTTCATCGGTAATTAGTATTGGGTGATGAAGCCACTCGTGAAGAGGAATTCTTGTTCCGTCGATATCTTGGCCAGGAATTATATTCTGTGTAATGCTTTCCGACATATCATCCGCCATGTAGAGGCGGGAACGTAAGGCTTGCCGGGAGACATATTGGGTCTCCAAAGGAGGAAGAGTCTGGCTCCTCTGTCGAGGGAGGAACCTTTCTGGTGGCAATGTTGTCCCCTTGGAGAAACTTGCAGCCCTGCGTCTCGGGATCATCGACTGACTTGTGACGATACGCCCTGGTGGATTTCGGTCATGAAGATCTTGATCTTTGGATCGCATACTTGCTGGATCACGATGGTGACGAAGTAATGCGTTAAGGAATGAAAAATAAAAGAAGAAAAAGAAGGGGGGGAATTGCTTTTTAGTTTTTTTAAAAAAAAAGAAAAAAAAAAAAAAGAGTACCCAACTCAGACATGTTTTCTTCTACTTC